GGAGGGGATATTTCATTTTGATGAATGAACATCATTTGCCAGGCAACAAAAGAGGAAGCATCTAGTCAGACCTGAATCTCAGTTAACGCTGTCACGCCTTTCTCTCTTATTCTGAAGAGACCTGGGTTCCTTTGTAAATGCTGTATCTCAAAGATGGAGGAAGGTTGCAAGTGGAAAAATCAAGCAGGACCCAAACACTAGGAGGATTTTCCAGCTTTTCCATCCTCAGATCACAGAACAATTATAAACGAACAATAATAACAAAAATTAATACAATGAATAATCATAGTATGTTAATAGTACTTAAACTTCACTGTGTAGTTCATTAGATGCATCCACCTGTCATGCACTAGTCAAAACTCATGAATAACTAATATTGGCAAAATAATGAAAGCATATATGCACACACACACACGCGCGCGCACACACATGCACATGTGCACACACACACACACACACACATTCATGCAGACCCTCAGAATAAACTGTTCAAATCCTACAAGTCTTATTTAATAATTTCTCTTAGACCAGTAATTAAAAATGTAAATGTGGAATTTTAAAGTATAAATTGGGGAAATAATCAAATTATAAAAATGGCCAACAATTAAATCCTTTCCTGTAGAACAAACTCAGGGTTTTATTTTGAGGTAAAAGAATGATTTTTTAAAAGAAACTTCAGTTTTGAGGCTGGAGATATAGCTCAGTGGCATTAGAACTTGACGGGCAAGTATAAAGTCCCACGTTCAATCTCCAGTACTGTGTGCTGTGCAGGCCCCAGAACCTGGGCCTGCCATGCCAACCCTGAGACCAGGCGTGTGGTGCATGCCTGTAATACCAGCGCTGGGGAGGCCGAGACAGTAGGATCACTACGAATCTGAACTGTGTAGTGAGACCTTATATAAAAAAATAATAATAAATAAAAATTAAAAAAATTAAAAAAGAAGAAATTTCAGCTTCATTTGTGGATCTCATTACCTGTTTGTACCAGATACATTTGTTATTACAATAACCAAAATAAGTGTATATTTCATAATTTCATCTCACGTAGAAACAGGAACAAAAATCAACTCTATGCCTTTTATTGATCCAGGGGATCTACATTCAAAAAGAAATTTAAAATGATACAGAATCTGAAAACAAGATGATAGGAAATTGACAAGGGTTATCATATTGCGTAGTGTTTTCTTCAAAGTAGTTGCTCAGGTTGACAGATGCTGGCATGAGAGACGGATCAAACAGTGTGAGCAATGACTGTTCCTTTCAATGGACTAATAGAAATTCAGAAAGTCGTAGTATAGACATCTCAGGTGTCTTGCATATGCATATTCATTTACCTTACTTTTATATAACACAGGATTCTAGCAGGCAAAAAACAGAATGGCAGGAAACCTGATCTCTCCATCAAGCATGCTTTCCACATTCATATACTGAACACAAAACAATTATAAATATACAAGAGAGAGGGAAGAATAATCTAAGCAGGAGGGATGATTATTTCTGGTTTAAAGATACCAAAATCTTCATTTTTTTTTTTTTTTTAGCTAAACAAGCGCTTCCAAGTCTAACACCATCTTTGTGCTTTGTGGCAAGCTGCAGACTGGGATGGGGTTGGATTGCCAACAGCACATTGGCGAACATCATGTGTTGTTTGTGTTTACCTGGTTGCAAACAGTCAAACACCACACTGACCACGTTGACTGGGACAGACATCTTTTATTAACACACATTTAACGGGATTTAAAATATTCATAAGAAATGTGCATTATTATTATTTGGCATCAGCACCCTAGACTTTTAAAAATGCATGGAACTGCATATTGGTGGAACACTGATGTAAATGACAAATTATTTGAAAAAAAATCTATTAAAATTCTTCACCAGCCTTTGTCTGTCCATGAGGCTTTCTCTCAGCACTAAGCATTTCTCTGGTGGCAGTGGCGGCACATTTCCTTAGGTTTATCTTTCTGGTTTCAGCCATGTCACAGGCCTGATGAATTTCTTTGTCAAAAAATATCACATTAAAAGTATTGCTATGGGTGACCTACTTGGGTCCTGGGATGTTCTGAGAATGTGGACAATGGAGGAGAGGTGCCCATGGCTGGCATGAAATTCAAATGTGGACACAATGTGACTTTTCCGTTTTGTTCTGCAAGGCACTATGTGAGATTCCTACATTGAAATCGCACATGGTGTGCTGGAAGTTCTGCTTGGGATCAGGTCTGAAGTACGTGCTGGCACACGGCTGTCAGGGCATGGGCTTGAAAAGCAAGGCTTCATGGCCATGACAGGCAAGAGGCCCGTGCCCCATGCCAGTCACTCAGCTGCACATCGGCTGGGGGATGACATCCTTCTCCACTAACATCTGAAATGTACAGAACAGTGTTTCTCGGTGTTGGGGGTCCGTGGGTGCTGGTGACTCAACCTGCAGGGGCAGACAGCCTGCTTCCCAGGGTTCCACACAGAGCAGAGGCGGGGTGGGGTTCAGTCCTACGGGGAAAAGGATTTCAATAGCGATGATGGTTATGTTTCTCCAGTCGCTACCTGCTGTGTATCCCTGTGTTACCTACTCTTACTTAAGGGAAACTCAGGCCAGTCCAAACCCAGGTTCCAACCATCATGACAGGTTCTCCGCATGACAATTCTCAGCACACACACACAGTCTGTAGGACTTGTTTTATAAAAAGACAAGACAGGAGGTAAGTTAGCCCAAGTGTACCACACTGATTGGTAATTTGCAATGCTTTGGACTCTGTTTATTTATGTGCCACCCTCCGTCCTGGAGATGGAAGGTCATGGGGCTTACTCAATAAGGGCCGTGGGCAGATGGACCACTGAGGAAATCCTCCAGTGGCCTCTTGTGGGGAAGAGAAATGACAATGCCAAGAAGAAAGGCCCGTTGCCTCTTTTTCCAACCTGGAATTCTATCGTGCCAGCAACTTTGCAGTGGGTTGAGTAATTATGTTGTTGACTTTCACTGAGTGACATTAAGTATACTGCTATGTATAAGAAGATAACAGATCTTTAAAAAAATTCTTCAACAGTCTATTTTGAGCCTGAGCACTCCAGTTCATAAATCTGAATGCAATTCATGCCTGTACTCCAGAGTGCGTGTGATGCTCCCCTAAAAGGTGGGGCATTAATGCTTCCTAGGTCTTGGGTGCCATCTAGTCTACTGTATTGATAATTTCCTAAATGTTACCCTTGAGACCAAAAATGTTGGCTGTACCCTTGCAGCCTGCCTAAGTTGTTCCCAGGGAATAATGACAGATTGGGAGAGATGGATCAAGTATTATGTATTATTTTTCAGAAAGGTATTTTAAAAAGTGAAGTAAACTTTAAAGATAGCAAATTCCCTTTCATTTTATGTCTTATCATTACTAAAATAATATAATTAGAAGAAGTATTATAAAAATAAAACCACCTACTTAATATATAATTGATACCACTTCCAGTTCTGTACCATTGTATTAATATCCAGCCTTCTGGAAGTCACTCAGATTCTCATTAGATATAAAGCCAGGATGGCAATTGGCCAACAGAACAACATCTCTTAAGGAGCCCGTGATTAAAACACTTGACAAGATTAACCCTAAAACCTCATTGTTCAAAGATAAAGTGCCTCATTCACTCTGTATAACTTGATTCCCAACTTTTATATATATATATATATATATATATATTTCTCTCTAAATATTTATACTCCTTGAGATATATTTCATATAATCCAAATAATACATCCTTGTATTTATTTCCTAAACATAACTTGGTTAAAGCAGACATACAATTCCAACAAACACAACAGGGTCATTTCCCAGAAAGAAGCATAGAGACTCTCCAAGTACTCAGGATGCCACGTCCTTGTTGCATTTCCTCCATCGTGCTAGGAGTCCTCCAGAGCAGAGAACACTATCACAGAGCAGAAGACAACCCTTGCTCTAGAAGGGTGCCCAAGTGTACCCCCAAAGGACAGAACAGGGTCACATCCTAGCTTCCTGTGAATTGCTTCTTGTCTGCAGATCAAACCCTCCAATACTGCAAGCCCACATTTCCTTCTGGAGAGACCAACCGCCCTTGTCTTCTCTCTTGCCTGGAAAAGACTGTTGTCATTTAATGACAAGAAAAGAGAAAAGACTCACTGTCTTGCTTTGGAAGAACTAGACATGTGGGCTCCCTAAGGCCCAAGACATCTGGCCGGGTCCTGCCCAGCCCACTTACTGTCCTCGGCAGTCAAGAGTGGGATCCTAGGACTGTGCGCCCTGCCAAATGCATTGGAGGCAACGAGCCGGAACTCATATTCTGTGTATGGCTGGAGGCCGCTCACTTCGTAGTGCATTGATGCAGAAGGGTTGGAAAACAACCTGTAAGGAAAAGCAATGTCAGTTAGGAAATTTTAGGCCTGGGATAAAGACAAAAAGCAGATTAAATCTTGCAAAAACAATTGAGAGAATGCCAACATGTACTTAAGTATTGCCATTTTGTGCCATCAAGTGGCATCTCTCTCAAGGTGAGTACTGGCGGGGAGTTTGAAAACTTGTGTTAATAGGAGGTTCAGATTCTAGGCGTGCTGAGATGGCTTTCCAGGTGAAATTGGTAGATACGATAATTTCCTGTCTGTAGCCACACTGCAGACAGTGGTTTGGTAGTACCAGGTGTTTCCCCACTTCATGTAAAACCTGTCTTCCTGGAGCCTTACTTTGGTGAGAACTCTTTTGTGTAAAAAGATCTTACTTTACATGTTATGTAGATGAAAAATAGGTATTTTTTCAGAGCAAATAATTATGCAGTAGGTTGTTCATTGGTTTGTGTTTGCACTTTTAAAAATAACTTCTGCTTGTTGCAAATGAGAACGGGCATCTTCTTAGGATTTTCTATGTACTTAGAAGAAGCCAGTTGAGAGGAACGAGGCCGAGGCAGAAGCTCACTCGAGAAAGCTGAGCTGGGAGTGGGCCGGCCTCATCTGGAGCTGGTATCTGGGGGAGCTGGGAGCGTTGTTCCGAGCTGGTGTAGACCAGACAACCTGAAGACTGGTTGGGGTGGCAGATGAAAGCCTGGGAGGCAGCACACCATCTGGAGCTGTCGAGAAGCACAGATGAATTAGAGCAGAGAAAACTGTGGAGAACATATGCCGGGTGGAATCGAAATGCTCCATATACTGGAAAAACTGTTCCTCAGGATCAACAACAATGTTAACCATGGTCCATTTAATTTAACATTTTCATTCCTGAACTACTGTACTTCCTTATTGTTCATTTCAACACAATTACATTAGTATTTCAGTTCTGAAAAGCCAGCCCCCCAAACGGCAAGACAAATGGATATGCGGCACTCTCCCACCTGTACTTCTGCTGGTCTAATTGAAAACATGGAGGGGATTTAGTGAAGCAAATAGTAGAGACTTTTTAATTTACTGCTGTCATCAGCAGACCCGCGGCTCAGCGCTGATGCAGTCCAGGTCTCCTATGTACTATATCCTCCCTATAGTGTCCCCCATTGTCACTTTGAGCACAACCTGACTTGTGAACAAACTGGATTTTTTTCGGTTTTTGCAGGACAAGTTCACTAAAATTTAATTTTTCTGTAATTAAGTGTGGAATATTGTGGCCTTCATGTTTGCTTATGAAAATTTGGACAATAAAGGTCTTTCCTCCTGTGTCCTACACTGTCCTACGTTTCCCAGAGTCTTGCCCTTACACAGATATGAACTCAGTCACTGCATGCACATCGCCTTTCTGAGCAGAGCTCAAGGTCATAATATAATCAAATTACGAGTGCTGAACTTAGTGCCCCTGCTTGGGAGAGTCCATCAGGAAATCTGAGTTCATGCAAAATGGTTCATGTGAAGGGTCCCAGAAGGCCTAACAAGAATGAGGAAAACTAAAGCCTATTCTAAGGAGACATTTCAACAAGATGATTCTTGTTATTTTGGTTTTTCCACCAAGTATAACTTGAATGAGCCTTTCATATCTGTGCTTAGTCTACAACTAGCCAGAAACATCAAAGTAAATTAAGCAAAGCTGTGTGGCTATAAGGAACTCGCCTACTGACACTGAGCCTCTGTTTGCTATAAAATAAGGGTAACCTGCTTCTCTTGTGAGATCGGTGGGAAGAACAAATCTCTGGGAATTATTAGCTGGCGACTATCATTAGTAATATTATTACCACATGGAAGATCTGGACTTCCGATGGCATAATTGGATACTCTAATGTAAATTTTTTTGGGATTCTGTGATGATTCTAACATAAATTCATAACAGCCCCAGGTTACCAGGAGGCATTGGAGAAGGAAGATAAGAGATTAATAATAAAAGCAAGTGAAATATCAGGGTCTGTCTTCAGTCTTCTTCCCCATAGAGTCTGTGTCCTCAATCTTCTTCCCCATAGAGTCAGTGTCACCTGTATATCTTGCATGCCTCACAACTCAGAAGAACATGCAGCCCATGAACACTGAGACTAACGGATGCCCAGGGAGAGGAGTGGGAGGATTAGATTACAGGTTCCATCAATCTTCTGCAAGGGGTTTGAGTTCATTCATAATTTATTCATTTGTTCAATATGCATTTATCCCAGCTCCATTCTGCGATAAATGGTGCTCTTCCTATGGAGGGAAAATGCCCTGAGTACAGTGGACTCCACTCCTGTCCCTGTAGCGCTCACAGTTATGGGTAGGAGGGGGCAATAAACAAAAGGATACAGGAAAGGATGCCATTTGGGACCAGAAGTGCCCTGGGGATAATAAAACAGGGTAAGAGCAGAGTGGGAGTAAGGAATGGGCAACTTCAGTTACCCAAACGTGGCTTGGATCCAGTGGACTAACTGCAGGAAGGCATGTGATTTGCAGATGTTTGGGAGAAGGGAGGTGCCATGACACCCAGATAAGGAGCAGCCCAGCCAGAGAACAGCGAGCAGAAGTAGCAAGGAGAGAAAGCTCTGGTTGCCATGCAGGAGTAGTAAAGAAGCCTATGAAGAACAGGGAAAGACAGGAGGGAAGGGAGAGGAGGGTAGGGAGCAGGTGGGGTCTCACCTGAGGGGCACTGGGGAAGGGCTGTGGGCTGTGTTCTGTATAAGGTCAGGAGCCGCTGTAGCACTTTGTAAGGGAGCTCACATGATGTGATTCCAAACTCACAAAGACCACTCTTGTGTTGATATGGGCCAGGGCATAATGGAATATAAAGGAGCCAAAAATGATGCCCAAACATCGATGGATGGCGGTGTCCTCACCCGGACGGGAGGTTCTGGTGGGGCAGTCAAGAGTTTTGTTTTGTCCAAGTTATGCATAAGAGGTGTATGGTATGGGGAACTCTAGCAGAGAAATCAAGGAAGAAGTTGCAGAAATGAGTCTGGAGGGAAGTGGGACTCAAGGTAGATGCTCTGTGGAAATGCCAAGAGGCGATGAGATGGAGTAGGGAGTGAGGTAGGGGTGGAGCGCTGAGGAGGGATTTAAGACGTGAGCCCAGGCACCCACCAGTGTCCTGAGCTCAGGTAGAGGGAGGTCCATTCCACAAGGGATGGAGAAGCAGCAGTTAGGGGGTGGGAGGATATTTGGGAGAAAGTGCTGCTGGAGGCCAGGGAAAGAACAGGAACATGACAACAGGGTCGGGTTGCCACGAATTGAGAAAGAAGAGGAATGGGGTTCCACCTGGGTGGTGACCTTCCACAGGACCAAAGCAGTGCTGAGGACAGAGTCAGGCAGTCTAAGAAGAAGCTTTTGGGAAGAGAATGGGTGAGAACAGCAAATGGATCCAGTGAACTCAGACAGCTGGGTTTGAAGGAGCGAGTTCTGACGGGGAGTACAAGATGGGATGTCAGCTCTGACAGCTTGTGGTTTTCAAGCCAGGGTTCTGCACGCTGGGAGGTGTCATGGACACACGCCTACTGCAAGGATCCCATAGGAGACTAGAAGACGGGACAGTGTAGCAGAAGGTAAAGTAATTGCCAGAGCAATGTCCCTCGGTGGGGACAGGGAGAAAATCAGGCCCTGTGCATGGAAGGGGGAGCCAGGGCCCAGAGCAGGGACAGCGGCCCACCATGCAGGAACATGTGCAGACAGTGAGTCCAAGAGGTGCAGCAGGGCTCAGCCCTGTGGACAGAAGCCCATTGTCCTGTTGAGTGGAGTAGAAGCCAAGCCACAAGCTCAGTGCCCATGGCTGAGGGTGACCGGGGTGTGAGAAGGGAGAGCACTGGGAAGAAACAGTCTGCTCTGTTAGGAAAAGAGAGGCATGACCAGGAGGTGCGGGAGGACTGCCGCAGGGCCGCCGCTCAGCAGCTCAGTGCCCAGTCCTTGCCTGGAAGGATGCTCATGGCTGAAGATTTTTTCAGTGCTATTTTACCAACACAAACACTGTAATCAGTGTTCATTTCTTAGTTGATAAATATTCTTGAATGACTGATGGTACGTATACACATGTAAGAGAAGCCCGGAACATACATGGGAACAAGGTGAGGTCCAGGGCTGGGGATATAGCTCAGTGGCACAGCAAGGTCCTGAGTTCCATTACTAGTACCAAAAAAACCCCAAGCAAAGTCACACTGCACCTGACGCAGAAGGCATACAACCACGTCTCACACTTATTGGTTTTGGCCTATTTTTTCTGCATGAAGGAGCACTGTGTTACTGACTGTCTAAATTCTGAGAATTAGTTGTCTATCACTAACATGAAAAATACCAACTTTAATATGCACATGTTAAAATCTGTGTTCACCTACCATGGAGTGAGGCAGAGGGGAGCCCCGTGCAGGTCTCACCATAACACCGAAGTAGCATACACCGCCTTCCAAGTGACAACTGAACGGTACGAGTGGTAAGTTGGCCACACTTCCAACATATTTTCAAACAAAGGCTCGCCTTGGGTTTCTTACACGCGGCTACGCAGGCTGTCCTCCTCCTGCATAGATGCTCACTAGACGTCCCTCTCTGGCTAACCCCTTTTAGCCTAGAGATGCTCTATGGGGCCTCCTCAGCGCCGAAGTAATCACAGGGCCCCAGCTGCAGTCCCACCCCGGTCCCTCAGCAGAGGAGCCCTGTGCCCATCAGCCTGATAGATCGTCTCCACGATGCGGTGAGCTCCGCTCACAGAGCTTCTCTCCAGTTTAATACGGCCCTCATGGGGCAAGCACTCCACAGACAACCTCCTGAATCACCCCGTCCTGTCCAGTAAACACTAATTCACCAGGCAACCAGATAAGTGCAGCTACCCCAATCTATAACTTCAAAGGAAAGGAGTTTTTTTTAAAATCAAGTTTCAAGTTTAACCTTTTTCAAAGGCAAAATTAATATAAAACATTAAACAACAAATAAATTACAGGTTGAACTATGCCAACTTGCTTGAAAATTTTGAATATATGATTTTATTAAACTGTAAAGAAGTGTACACTTGGAGGATTTATCTAGAATAATTCTCCAGACAGACAGAAATGGATTTACACATGCCCCAAACCTTTGCTCCACATAGATTTATAGAACTCTGTGGGGAGAGCCCCACAGCAAACACAGAGGCCTTTCCCCTCCAGAGCAGGTGACTCCTACAGCCGCAGGAGCCACAGGAAGAAAGCTTTCTAGAAACATCAGTTCCCGACACACCCCAGCCCCTTGTTACTCTGTGCAGTATGGTTTTGCACGCAGGTATGTGAGTGTTAAAGTAATGCACGCAGGTATGTGAGTGTTAAAGTAGTGAGGGATGTGCTACATTAGAGTACCAAAGAAAATTGTGCTCATTTGTATTAAACTTAACTTTTTTTTTTTAAATGAGTTTAGGATAGGGTGTACAGGGTGTTCAGGGCCTCACTAGGTAGATTGGACTCATAGTGAGCCTCCTGTTTTCAGCCTCCCAAGCACTGAGATTACAGGCACGTGCCTCCATGCCCAGTCTCAACTGCCATCCCAGGGCGCCCCCAGGGTGGGGCCAGCATGGCATGCTGGGGATTGAACCCCGGTCGCTGCACTCTGCCAGAGCAGATGCTTTAGTCTGCTGAGCTATCTGGCCGGCCCTCAAATTTCTAATAAAAGATGTTGAGAACCACTGACCTTGCTCTTCTGGGGATGGGCACAGGCAGAGCAGGTGCCCCAGGGCAGATCA